TATTACTCTCGTAATGCCTCTAGCTACAAAAGAAACCATATATACACCCAAGCAAATAGCGGAGACATTTAATTCTCAGCTAGACATTTAATTCTCAGCTCATTAATTCTTAATGCTAGTGTGGGTGAAAATTTAGCATCCGATATACCACCCTCTACCGTAGAACCTGACGTATATGTTGTGCCTGCTGAAACCACATTTTCAATGAAATCCCTCACTGTATATGCAGTTTACAAAAAATTAAAAGCAATTAACGAAAGGAAAGCAGCTGGTCTTCATAAAATACCTTGCAAACTTTTAAGAATTTCAGCTGAAATAGTTGCCCCATCTTTAACTCAAATATTTAATAAGACTATAAGTACAAGCATCTTCCCTACAGACTGGAAGCTAGCGAGAGTTACTCCAATTTTTAAGAAAGGTAAAAAAGACGACATGAACAACTATCGACCAATATCTGTTATTTCTGCAGTAGCAAAAATTTTTGAAAAGTTTACTTTTGAGCAGTTGAGTATGAGTATCTTATCTGAACAACAACAATCTAATATCTGCGTCTCAATCTGGATTTCAATCATTGCACAGTACACTAACTGCCCTAATAGAAGCCACGGATAATTGGTCAATAAATATAGATAAAGACCTTCTTAACGGAGTAATTTTTATCGATCTTAAAAAGCATTTGATACTATTGATCACACCATTCTTTTACGGAAGTTACGAATCTATGGCGTTGATGAAAATGGTATCAAATTCTTCGAATCATACCTAAGCAACCGCAATCAAAGATGTTGCGTCAATGGTGAGTTATCTAAAACTGCTAAAATAACCTGTGGGGTACCACAAAGCAGTAACTTGGGACCTCTATTGTTCTTAATATACATAAATGATTTGCCTAATTGTCTCGACAGAGCCTCTCCAAGAATGTTTGCTGATGACACTAATATTAGCATCGCAGCAAATTCCGTCACGGAGCTTGAGCAAATAATAAACTCCGAATTGAAAAATCTTCATCAGTGGCTACTAGCTAATAGACTGAGTCTTAACGTAGCTAAAACGGAATTCATGATAATAGGGTCTCGTCAAAGATTACTAGTGCATGATAACGAACACATAAGGATAGAAATCGACGGAAAGACTATTAAGAGAGTCAACGAAACGAAATCCTTAGGCTTGCAAATCGATGAGCATCTTACATGGGCACGACATGTCGAAAATATATCCAAAAAGATTGCATCAGCTATTGGAGCTCTTAAACGGATACGCCAATTTATGGGAAACGACAAAACGCGGACCCCAGGTCCATGGACTACACTCGTGGACCACGGACCGCTCCCGTGGACCACTTGCAAAATTTCGCCTACCGAACAATAGACCAAACACTATTATTCCGAGTTTAGGGAGCCGAGATTGGCGGGAACTACTGATTATTCATTTCCATTATTTATTTCACAATCAATTCAGTTTTTGTTTGATGAACAGTGAATACTAAGTCTGTAAAAATGCTGAAAAAATGTAGTCAGGGTTCCATTAAAAAATATAGGAATACTGTGGAGAATCTGGAGGGGGGTGGGGCGGTGGTCAAAGGATTTTACTGAATTATTCGAATTTTACTGTTAAAAAATCACTTGAACTGTAGAAGTCGTAAGTTGCAATAACCTTTCAATGCCTGAAGGTCCTCTTCCAAAAATATTAATTTTTGAAGCTCGATTACTGCTTTTCTTGCATTTCCTGTAGCGATCGAGAAAAAAACCTACCAATTTTAAGGGCATATATTCGGAAACTTTGCATTAAAGTCGTAATTGCACACTTATATTTTAGAACGGTCATGTTCAGAACTTCACATTTTGTGTAAAGTTTCCACAATAATAATAATGACTGAACTCGACTCGAGCACATTTTTGCATGCACAGTAAAGAATTCAAACCCCAAAAATCTGGTGTCTCGCAAGTGGTCCATGAGAGTGGTCCACGAAGGTAGTCCACGGACCAGGTCCACGAAGGTAGTCCACGGACCTGGGGTCCGCGTTTTGTCGTTTCCTCCAATTTATAGATACAAACACTGCTCTAAAAATTTATGGAGCATTAATTCAACCGCACTTTGATTATTGTAGCTCAATTTGGGATGGTTTGAATATCACGTTAAATGACAAATTGCAAAAATTTTAAAATAGGGCAGCGAGGGTCGTCACTAAATCTCAATATAATGCTAGTTCCAGAGACCTTTTTAGTAAGCTGGGCTGGGATAATCTTTTAACACGTCGGAAAAAGCATAAGGCTATACTAATGTTTAAAACAATTAACGATCTAACTCCATTCTATCTCCATGAATTGTTTGAATCTCGCAGCACAGGATATAACTTAAGAAACTCTGAACACACCTTATTTGTACCAAAACCAAGAACGAACTACGGTAAGCGAAGTTTCAGTTATAGCGGGGCAGTTTTATGGAACGAGTTACCACAAAATGTTCGAACAACATGCTCCCTAAGTCAATTCAAAAGAGCAATTGACAATCTGTTCTCTATATGAGATGGACTCCCGCACGGCAATCTTGTAAATCAGTATTTTAGTGTTTGGATAAGTGTATATTAATTGTCATAGCGTCATTGTAATTATACAGTATGTTAGTTAATTATCTTGTAAAATGTTATACTGTAGATTTCACCGTGTTTAAATAAAGTTTTTGTTTGATTGATTGATATGTATATGTTTATGTATGTCTTGCGATACAGTCGGCTAGTTCTGAGTTGTCTTTCATATAAACTATAACATCAACTTCAATGTTTATGTTTAATTCATTTATTTGCTTTATGTTCAATATATTTGCGTGGCGGACATGCACCAGTGTGGAAAGTTTGCCTCGCGCAACCAGGAATATCAGGCGCGCAGTTTTGGTGCACAGCCGACGTTCAATATAAATGCGTGACAGACATGCACCTTTAAATTAAGTCCATTCTTACCTCAAATGAAAATATTCAAATCACGATTTCCCATGGAACAGATTTTTAACGGATGTTGCTGCTGTTTAAAATTTTCCTGATCACTTTATTTCAGTTTCATTTGCTTTCAATCGAGCATGGCATTTAAATTCCCCATTTAAACTGTCTGATGTAATTTGTAAACACAGAATCAATAACAATACATCGCGTGATCTGTGTTTCAAGTTACAAGAGTGATGTTCATTTCCTGTTATTGTGCAGAATTTCTAAAAACACATTGGATCCATAACATTGACATTGTGGATATGTTTAAACATATTTGGTAATATTTGCTAATGTGTGGCAGGGGTTTCTTCAAAATTTTAATTACATCATCGTCCAAACGTTAAACTGTAGGGCAGCAATGTTGACGTACATGAAATATGAAATATAATCATATTTCAATGTTGAAATATGATCATTTAATTAATTCATTAATAATCAACCTAATTATTGTATCATATTTCTTCATATAAATACCGCTTTTGATATATAACCTAGCTAGTTTATCCTGATGATGACTGAAATATAGTCGAAACGTAGATAAATAAAAATGTTATCGATTTTTGGAATTTCACTTGTTTTGTATTTTGACAGAATTTGTCCCATTTATTTTTATAATAAGTCAATATTGCCCGACTGGCTTGGTTTGCCCAACAAACTGGGGGGGCCGCCGCCCTACCCCCCGCCCCCCTAACCCCGCCCGGTACGCCCATGGGCAATGACAAATTGTTTTATCTCTCTTTTCGAACTTACAGTATACAACTGAAATGTCCAAATTGTGAATGTTTACAGCAATGTCGCAGTTTTGCAAGCACAGAAAATGTTTAACTTTAAATATTTCATGCACATTGTATGAAAACTAGTTTCATTTTGATGTTTTTGTACTAATTCAAGTACTTAATTTTCAGCAAATCAACAAATGATAATGGTTTTTTTTAGTTTTCAGACTTTTTTTTCCTTTATTTTTGACATGTACAACTGAAATCTACACATGAAATACATATATAGCCGTTTCACCACCCGTGTTTTACAGCGCCCTGCCTCCCGACGAAGGACCTTCACTCGAAACGTCGATGTTCTGCTTGTATTTTCAAAATAATTTTCCATTTAAGTTGCAATGTATGTCATCTTAATTATTGCAAAGCAACATTAATGGATCACAGGCGGACGCTGGCAAATTGAGCCTGGGCCTCCTGTGATTCACCGGAATAAAATTGTTCCAATAAATGCAGAAATTTGTCCAGAATATCCGTATACCGAACTCATTACTCACGTAGTATACTATTATTTAATCAAAAAATCCAAAAATAAAACTTACAAAACTTAAAACTAAAATATATTAAATTTATCACAGTCTCACGAATCACGATATGTCTCACAGTCCCAATGTTTTTTTTATATTCTCTGTCTATCAACTAATTGCTCTTACTTCAAAATGTCAATCTTGTTTATAAAAGTCCCCGCCCCTTGTCACACCACCTAATGTGGCCTATACTAATTTCGGTTCACTACTCCCCTAAAAATTCAGTCTTAATTTTTATAAGTCAACACAATAGGGCCATTTATACGGAACAAAATAAGACGCGACTTACATAAGACGCGACTTAAGTAAGACGCGAGTTTGTCGTATAAAAGGTACAAAATTCTTATGTAAGACGCGTCTTGGATAAAACGCGTCTTACATAAGAACAGGACTTTTAGCTGTTCTTATTTAAGTCGCGTCTTAAATAAGAAATTTTGGACAAAAAGTCTAACTACACATGCCAGAAACTTGAAACAACGTAAAATTTAATGCCTTGCATATTAAAACAAGAACAATTAAAACAAGAACAACCAAAACAACATTATAGCTATAGCAAATAAATAAGACCAAAGCCGTAGAGAACCATTTATGCGATAACTCCACTTATTTAAGTCGCGTCTTATGTAAGTCGCGACTTATTTTGTCACGTATAAATGGCCCTAATGTGAACTGTTCTCATTTACTGTTCCCTGCTTAGTCTGCATCCTCGTTTTCTGCTAGCTCACGTATTTTCTTACTTGCTTCAATTGCTGCTCCCCGTTTCTTCCTTTCATTTTCAACCGTCTGCTTCTCCTCGTTCTTTCTTTGTTCTATTTGCGTTGTGCATCGAATTTCGAGTGGACACACCAACTGTAACGGTCTTTCGAGAGTGTGTCCCTTGTGTAAAAGTACCACGCCACGCACCACTCCGTCCTTACCTTTGACTTGTCGCACTACCTTTCCCTTCTTCCAGTCGCTCCTGTTCTTTTCTTCTCCCACGACTAAAACTACTTCACCGACTTCAGGCGTGTTAACTGGCTTTCCGTTTACTCGTTGGTTTTCCATTAAACTGTGTACGTATTCTCGTTGCCATCTTTTCCAAGCGTTGTTCTTTGCTTTGGCGATTCTCTTTTGCATCTTCGTAAGCTCGTCTACGTCATTCTCTATGTCATCAAGAAGGTAAGTGTTTCTCCCTCGGATGAGAACGTTTGGCGTTAGTACTTCTTCCTCCCCACTTTCGCTTTCGACATAGGTTAATGGACGATTGTTCATATTAATTTCAATGTCCATGAGGACCATTTCCAAATTCTCGAATGAAAGGTGCGATCTTCCAAGGGTCTTATAAAGGGTCTTCTTTACTTCCAGAATCAATCTTTCATAGATCCCTCCCCACCAAGGGGATTTAGCAAGGTTGAATCTCCAGTGTATACCTTCTGCTGCTAGGAAATCGTGCAATTTCCCACTCTTTCTAATGGCTTTGATTAGTTTGGCTGTCGTTTTAAATGTCGCTGCGTTGTCCGATATCATTAATCGAGGTCTTCCTCTTCGAGCGATGAATGAGTTGAGCTTTCGTTGGAATTCCTCTGCTTCTTGGCTCTTGGTTAGTTCCAGGTGGATCGCTCGAGATGCTGCACACGTGAAGATTAATACATAGCACTTTCCCTCTTCTCTCTTACTGATTTTGTATCTTAACGGCCCGGCGTAATCGACACCGGTGACTTCGAATGGTTCGCTAGATTCTGTTCTAAAGCTGGGCATGTTGCTCGTCAATGGTGACCCATACGGCTTCGTGGAATACAACTTGCAGATATTGCAATTGTTGATTAATTTTTTGACCTTTGATCTAAGTTGTGGTATCCACCACTGTTCTCTCAAAGCAGCCATAGTATTTGCGACACCGAAATGTTTGATCTTGCTGTGGGTGTGAGCTATTAGCTTTTCTACGAACAGTCCTCCGTCAAGGTATATTGGCTCGTATCCATTTACTCTTCCTTTACACTTGAGAACTTTCGTCACTTCGTCTTCGACGATTCTCCAACCTGGCGCTTGTAATTCAGGGTTGACACCTTGTTGTACTCTCCTTACCAGATGATCTTGATACGCGGAAAAGTACTGGCACTAGTTGTCAAATAGAAATCCATTTTATGATTAAAACAACGGAATATCTCCTGTAATATACTTTATTTCGATTCCATATTTTTGTCAGAGCTATAGTTCTCATAACCAAACATAATTACAAAATTTCAACTAGTTTCATAAAAAATAACGAAATTAGATATAATTGACTGAATACATCAAAATGGATTTCTATTCGGACAACCCTTTCTGAGCGCTGATTGGCTAAAATACGAACTCGAGATCACCTGGTACCCAAGCGTTTCTTGCAACTGTAATTTCTTCGCTTACAAGAGACCCGATCGCTTTTGGTTTCGACGAACTCTTGCCAAACAGTTGTTTAGAAATCTTAATGCCCATGATGTTACTCGCAATGTACGCCAGTATGTATTTTTTTCTAACAAAGCGTCCCATTCGTCTGGCTCCCAATCTTTCGTAAACAGTGCTTGCTCTTTAATTGGTTTGCATTCTTGACTGACAGATGTAGTTACTTTCAAATTGGGTTGCTCTGGCCATTGTTCTTTCTCTAATAACCAATCTGGACCGTTAAACCAGCTTCCGTTTTGCAATTTTTCCATGGTTGCTCCTCTGCTCCCTAGATCAGCAAGATTCTTATTTGACGGACAATATTTCCAAATGATACCAAGCTCGTTGGTTATCTCAGCTATCTTCTTGATTCGACTGGAGACGAACGTCTTCCATGGTTTCCCTGGATTGGTCAACCAGTAAAGCACTACCATGCTATCTAACCAGATCACAATGGTCTTGATTGGTTGCTGGTGAAGAGCGTTACGTAAATTCTTCGACATGTTCGCAGCCATGTGAGCTCCTACGAGTTCCAATCTGGGTATAGAAGTGTTTCTTTTTGAAATCCGGGACTTCGATGTCAGCAACCCTTTGATCGTTCCGGATGAATGTTCAACTAGTGATCGTTCCGGATGAATGTTCAACTAAATGCAGAACATGCGAGATTGCTTGCGTCGGCAAACACATGGAGCTCGATAGCCTTCGTTTCCTTCGAATTTCCTGTTAAGCTCCTCGGTACTTTCACGTTATTTAGTTGTTTGTTCCATTTGTGCCACTGTATCTTCAATTCTGGTGAAACCTCGGCATTCCATCCCTTTTTCTCTTCACAAGCCTCTCTGTAAATGTGTTTTCCTTCGTCCATCGTGGGTGATATTATTCCCAATGGGTCGTAGACTTTGCCAAGCTGACTCAAGATGCTTCGTTTCGTAACTGATTCTGTCTCAGGTACTGCTAGTACTTGTATTTCTAGAGTGTCTTCACGCTTGTCCCAAACATGACCAAGAATTTTGCTAGGATTTGACATGTTCTCATCCTCTAATGTCGCGATGTTTGACTCCCACTTGTGAATCGGTAATTTTGCACTCTCAAGAACAACTTCACTTTCTTTCTTAAACTTCTCCATGTTATTTCCCGTTTGCATGATATTGTCCACATACGTATTTTCTCTAAGGGCAATCACTGTTTCCTCGAATTCTGGTGATTGCTGGTCGTAGTGGTATTCTAATGTAGCACCGAGTAAGAATGGGCTGGCTTCAACCCCAAATGGAACTCTGGCGAACCGGAAATGTTCCTCTTTTTCGTCGCGCTCGAAGAGAAATCTGAAGGCATCTCTGTCTTCTTCTTTGATTGCTATCTGTAAAAAGGCTTTTTGAATGTCTGCAAGAAGCAGATTTGACGACATTCTTGCTCTGACCATAATATCCCACTGGGCCTCCCCAGTAAACATACAATTGTTAAAACTGGATGCTAGTGGATGGGGTTTGGAGCTCGCATCAAAGACCATTCTCACTTTCGTTGTCGCTGCGTCTTGCCTTACGACTGGCTTGTGTGGCATGTAGTACACTGGCTCTCCTGACGGCTCGTCTGGGGCTTTCTCAATCACACCGCTTGCTAGTTGATCATCGATAATCTTCTCATATTCTTGCTTCAGGTTTTTGTCTTTCGCTAACTTTTTGTTCACGTTGAACAGTCATCTTCTGCTTGGCTGTTCGTTTGTAGTTGTCAACTTACTCCCTAGAATCCAGGGGCGGATCCAGCTTTTTGGATGACAGGTTTACTAGGTCCACACAACGACTAGGGGGGTCCGGGGGCATGCTCCCCCGGGACCGGAAATTTTTAAAACTTGGGCCTCTGAAACAGCCTTTCCTGCGTTCTGGTGTCACTTTTTAAATTAATTTAATGGTTAGAAAATACATGTTTTTAAGATAATTTTGGACTAATACGCAGCTCCGAACAATGAATTGAATCTTTTCAGAAACTTATTAGCTTGTAATAAAAATTAGGATTGGCAAATTGCTGACGCATTGATATTTATTATAAGTACAACAAGTAGAGCATACTAGATGCTTTAATATAAACATAGTTGTAATCTTATAGTTGTATTGTAATGTAGTTATAATTATACGCTTTCAAACCAACTTTACAATGAAATAGAAACCAAACTGCAAGAGCGTCAAAGCTTCACAATCATTTCCCGATTCTCTATCGCGCATGAGAATCCGCACGATGTGTGAAAGGATTAGCGTTTCTGGTGTTGGTAACCATAGTTTTGTGTCAAAGTTGATGAACTGATGACATATATTAATTATCGAACCTTGCTACTTATTTGTAATAGTATCTTTGAAACCAAACTTCATTTAATATTAACTTGTGAATTAGTTTCTTTAATATCTCGACTTCATATTACACATTGCAAATTGTGGTCGTCATACAAAAACAAAAATCGCGCGCCAAATTCGAATATAATACACGCCAAGACAGCATTCGAGGCGCATCAATGGATGACGTTCAAGCGACTGTTTGCGCACAACATAGATGATAAGAAAAATTGGTATGCATACAAATTGATACAATAAGTCGCTTGTTAGTAAAACATTCAAGTGTTTTCCATCAGAGATTAAACGGGTCAAACTTGAAGACTTGCGAGACGAAGAAGGTCGCCAAGTTTCGCATCGCCGTTTCTTTGCCAGGGTGACTAAAGACGTTATCACTGGCACGACAGAGTTATGTTCTCGACGCTTGGGGCAAGTAAGGCATTCGAATCAATCCTATCAGAGCAAAGTCGGATGCTGTTGTCCTAAATTTTTATAATGAAATCACATCGTATTATGCATGAATGGTATTATTTGTATATGATATTGGGGTTACGTACAGCGCTCTATACAGTAGGTCTGTATTATCGTAGTTATAATTCAACAAACCTTATTTCTGCGCGAATTGTACTGATTAGAACCGGGCAGCCAAACAGTGAAATAGAATGTAATCAACAGACCGCAAACAGTACAAGAAATATTATTGTTTTTAAATAACTGTGCATGCAAACGCTAAAGCTAGCGCAAATTTGTGTTTATATTATAAAGACCAATTTAGTGGAGACTCTCGTGTGCAGAAAGATGCAGTCATCTTTTGCTGACAGGTTAAGAAGATGCAGTCATCTTTGCTTAATCAGTTGAATCTAAATTTTTATAATATAATAACCCACCTAATATGCATGAATCATTGTATATGATATTGCGGTTGCAGCTACTGTACAATAGGCTATATATACAATACAGTAGGTCTGTATTATCATAATTATAATTTAACAAACTTTATTTCTGCGCGAATTGTACTGATTATAACCGGCCAGCCAAACAGTGAAATAGAATGTATATATCAAAAGACCGCAAAGTGAAACAGTATACAGTGACGAAATATTTTTGTTTTTAAATCACTGTGCATGCAAATGCTAAAACTAGCGCAAATTTGTGTTTATATTATAAAGACCAATTTATAGTGGAGACTCTTGTGTTCAGAAAGATGCAGTCATCTTTTGCTGACAGGTTAAGAAGATGTAGTCATCTTTGCTTAATCAGTTGAACCTAAATTTTTATAATATAATAACACATCCCATTATGCATGAATCATTGTATATGATATTGCGGTTGCAGCTACATACGGTAGCTATATAGGTCTGTATTATCATAGTTATAATTCAACAAGCCTTATTTCTGCGCGAATTTACTGACTAGAACTGGCCAGCCAAATAGAATGTATAGCTATATCAAGAGACCGAAAACAGTACACGAAATCTTTTTGTTTTAAAATCAGTTTGCAAACGCCAAAGCTAGTGCAAATTTGTGTTTATATTATAAAGACCAATTTAGCGGAGACTCTTGTGTTCAGAAAGATGCAGTCATCTTTTGCTGACAGGTTAAGAAGATGTAGTCATCTTTGCTTAATCAGTTGAACCTAAATTTTTATAATGAAAACACATTCCGGTATGTCACGAGTTCTATGCATGGCATTGGTATATATGCAGATATTCATAACTCATTAAGTCTTTCTGCGCGAGTTGCAACTACATGGCATGGCTATTTTCATTTAGAATCTAACCAAATAAAACCTATATGGGATATAGCTGAATACCATCACGTTAACAGGCTTCTGTAAGCAAATGTAAGCAATTATTGTATTGCATTTCACGGGATTTCACAAGACTAGTAACTTATTTCTAAATATTGAACTAAACGCCACATGCTAATTTTCATATACCCACTGCGAACAGAACCAGATTGATGACAGCTTTGCCTATTAATTTTGTTGGGATTAGACATAATTGCATCCGGCGAACTGCACAAATTTTGTGCAGTTGACACCTTTTTTCGGCCATGCGGATTCTCATGCAATGATTCGGTCACGCAATATTAGGCTATACACATATTTCGCGCTCTCGTGAGTGTAGCCTGTGTAGAAGTGAGTATAAACATCGATATGCTTGTTGACGGATCGATATTTATTACACAGTAGCAGAAATAGCTTACAGTTATAACTTTAGACTATATACTTTTAAACAAACCTTCAAAATGAACAAGAAATCCATGTAAATGCTTCTATAGCCAACGCAATGATTCAGTCACGCAAAATTATAAACATATTTCGCGCGTCCCCGAGTTATGTTAACTTTCATGCCCAGTTTTCTCTAACTACTGTTCGACTCACAGGTTTATGACCGGTTTACATCCATCGGAGCGCAGTATCGTCCGGTTTACTCTCATTGAGAAAACTCTGACCACCGGTTTACTCATAATTGCGGGCGGTTATGTGTGATTCATGCAATGTTTCAGTCCACGACCCACGACGATACATTAGCAGATTATTTGTCTAGTATTACAACATTTCGTAAAAGGAAACCAACGTGATAAGTCCTTAATTAATTTAAGTAAGTGGGTCTAAATACGCTCGGTAATCCATAATCAAATTTCAATAGCGTAATAAATCAGACAACATCAATTTTATGAAACAGAATATTCTTTAAATTAGTCATATACATGGAAGGTTATCGATTTTCTTTCTTTAGAAAATCTGACAGGTTTATATAAACCTGTCAAACCTGTCTGAATCCGCCCCTGGGAATCCATGGTATGCTAACTTGGTATCTGCCGTCTTCTTGTCTGATTATGTTCTCTCGAAACTCAGCAAGCACTTGCATTTGGTCATTTTCACCACGGTCTTCAACTCCGAGAACATCAAGACTATATAACTGTTCGTAATCGTAAATTTCTCTAGTGAACATACATGCATCGCTCGAATAATCCTCACCACCATCTATGACCCATCCGAATGTTGTCTCCTCCACAAGGGGATCTCCGGGATTTCCTTTGTAAACTTTCTCAGTTCGTATCCTGCTGTATGTGCCATCACCGAGTATGAGATGTGTAATATTAACAGTGGCGAAGCCAGCGGTCATGCAGGTCATGCAGTGCATGACTAAAAATTTCCCAAAAAATGTTTAAAAATCAGTTCAATATAATTGTTTACAATAGAATTATACTTTATCTCTGCACTTCTACGCCTAAGTATTTTATCTACTATTTTGTTTACCCAAATCAATGGTCTTTAGGCGATATTCTTGCTAAATATTCTCGTATGTTATTGATTTTGGCTTTGTTACCTTGGCAACTGAGCTGTCCTGCATATTTTCACATGCATGACTGGTTGCGTAAGCGCGTGGAAAAAGATTGCGTGTGATTGCTGCGTGGTTTGCTCGCTGTGTGTTTTGGTCATGCACTTTCAGAATTTCATGACTAGCTGTATTATTTTATATTAAGTTTGTTGGTTTCTGATTGGCTTACGACGTTCGCGCACGCGCAATGCGGCTGTTTTTGACGCCTTGGTCATGCAATTTTCGATTTGCATGACTAAACGGGCAACACAACCTGATCACAGCCTCTTCGCTCGAAGCTTTCAGCCTGAATGAACACGTTTTCAGGTCATTCAAGCATGTCGACTTCTTCTTTACTCGAAGCTAACGATATTGTTTGGGAATTGGTGAAGAAACCATTTTTTGCAGAGCAGAATATTATTGTTTATAAGCAGAGACAAACGCCAGGTCTTTCGCCATGCCCGATCGGGAAGGTTTTCAAATGTCGTGGTATTCAAAGAAAGAATGGCTTAGCCAGTCAGGTTTAGGCTAAATAAGCTATTGTCTATTGGTATTTAGTTATTATTACATGTATTTTGTCTTGAATATTTAAGCCTTCAACCCGAGCATAGCCGTATAAAGCATCGAACGCTATATACTATATGAAATACAATGTCAATGTCGAGGTCAATGTACGTAGTAAACAATGTAGTTCTATAAATAGCGCTGCAAAGCTTATACATTTCAACACGCAACACAAACATTTTAGCGATTGTGATTTAGCAACATATTTGATATATACAGGGTGTCTAAAAAAACCCCAAAATCATTGAAATAACGTATTGTTCGAATTTCAATGCCGTAACACAAAGGATTCTGACAGGGTGATTAATTTGTTTTAAAAAATTAAAATATCTTTGTAAAGTGAACGTTTGTTTGCTCATGGGAATTTAAAAATGCTTCGTAAATTCGTGGGTTTAGTACTTTATGCCTGACATAACAAGTTTACGCTGAGTATTACCATTCATTATAGCAGTTATGTCAATCTTTTATGCACTCGTGGGATTAACTTAGTGCTAGGGCATTGAATATCGAACAATACGTCAATTTCAATGATTTTGGGTTTTTTTGAGACACCCTGTATACTTGTTTGTGAAACAAACAAAGAAATTTCAATATATATTGTTAAATTGTATTTACCATTTGGTACATACTCCCTGTGCGTTCGAAAATATCCAATATTGGCAATAGCCAATAAGGGGCGGACCATTAGAAAAGTGATGGGGACAAAAATAAAGTTCGAGCAGGGAAAATAGAAAGTAAAAAACTTCGTGCAATAGAAATGTCTGAAAAAAAAATTCGTGTAATTATACCCTACTTTTCTTTGTCCTGTAACTCTACTCAAACATCTGATAATGCTTAATTCATTTCTGTATGTAATATTGTAATAATTGGGCATTGATTTTAAATTAAGGAAATTGATCAAGGCTCGTGCGTTATATTTTCCAAGTCATGCATATTATATCTATATTCTAGATTATACTGACTGTATTAGCAGCTATTTGTCATTAGCTGTCATTATGTTCCGTTAGTATATGTGGTAAAATTGTATCTAGTTCTGGAAATGTGAAAACTCTTCAGACTTCACGTTGGAATACTACAAGGGGATAGCATATCAAAGTAATCAATTAAAAATTGATAATACAGACATGCATATAATATTTTCTGATCGAAAAGAAATGCACAATTGCCGGTATGACTATAATTAGTGGAACAGCAGACCACAGATTTCCTATTATTGTGGCCTGAAATATGCCAAAATATCCACATTTTCCCGTCATTAGATCAAGCTATTTTCTGAATTTGATGCTCAGATTGTTGCAAATGGCGTTTCTGGGGTCTATATTTCAAAAATTTTCCGGGGGGGGCATGCCCCCGGACCCACCTAGGATGTCTCACGCCTTCGGCGCTCGTTTGCATGACCACTCACACGACGCTGGCTTCGCCACTGGTAATATATTAAGGTTCATATTAGCATAATTTATGCATATCCCATAATGCTGTATGGGAATAAAAGAAGTGTGTTGTAACTCGACCACGTTGTTTGTTTTGCTTATATTCTTATACTAAAACAAGTCTCAGTATACTACATTTGGCGACGAGGATGCTCAAAGTTGCGTGAGATACCCTCGCAGTAGTGGGAAAAGTTTGGAAGTAAGAAATTTATTAAATCTGATAACTGAACATCGAAATGGCAACAGCCGGAGGACTGTTCGGCCATGTTGGCGAGTTCAATTCCGAATGAGAGACATTTAAATCCTATGTGGAAAGAATGGAAATGTTTTTTACGGCAAACAACATTGTAGAGACACCAGGTGAAGAAAATGAAGGGGCTAATCAACTTGTCAAGGACAGGAAACGTGCCATTTTTCTAACTGAGATTGGAACGGATGTATATTCCACATTAAGTAATTTGTTGGTGCCAGCGAAGCCAAAAGACACGTCTTTGGCTAACATAGTTCAAGCACTAGAGAAGCATTTTAACCCAGCACCGTTGGAGATCGCTGAAAGTTTTCATTTTGGAACACGTAGTCAAAAACCCGGTGAGTCAATTGGTGAATATGTAGTGGCATTAAAAAAACTTTCCATTCATTGTAATTTTGGGGAATTTTTAAATCGAGCATTACGAGATCGCTTTGTATGTGGGCTAAACAACGTCAAGATACAGAACAAACTGTTGACCACCGAAAATATCACATTCGACAAAGCCTGTCAGATTGCGAAGTCTATGGAGATGGCTGAAAGGAACACGCAAGAGTTTCATCCAACTACTAGTGCCAGTGCTTCCAGTGAAGGGACGGTGAACCAAATAGAAAGCAAGATAAATGACGAGCAAGCATGCTACAGGTGTGGTGGAAATCATACTGCAAAAACTTGTAGATTTAAAACAGCAAAATGCTTTAAATGTACAAAAATAGGTCATATAGCGTCAGTGTGTCGTAGTAAAACCAGTAAGGAGGTTAAGCCTGGTTCAACATCCAAACACGGACAAGCAGATAGAGGTAACATTCAAAATTTATCATTGTACGATAGTAATAACGATAATGTCAATAGTGATGAATTAGGTGTTTATTCTTTATATTCAGTAGAGTCAGAGAACTATTCTCATAAGAGATATAATGTAGAACTATCTCTTAATGGGGTGGTGTGCGACATGGAGATTGACACCGCTGCTGATTTCTCGATAATGAGTAAAAGCATGTATGATCAGAAGTTTAGTCATTTTCCACTTTATCCGTCAGCTGTAAAATTGAAGACCTACACCGGCAAGATACTTCAGGTAAGTGGTGAGATGAAATGTGAGATTGTGTACCAAAATAAGACTTTTAGGTTGCCAATTGTGATAGCTAACTATGTAGGGAAACCCACTCTACTAGGTAAAAATTGGCTTGCCCAGATGAAGTTAGATTGGGGCAGGGTTTTTAGCATAAAAATGTCAGAGCAAAGTAATGCTAGAGACCAACTTAATGTGTTACTGTCAAAGTACAAAAACATGTTTGAAGACAGCTATGAAGGAATGAAAGGGTTTGAAGCACATATCACTATGAAAGACGGGGCAAGGCCAGTGTTTGTTAAGCCACGTAAAGTTCCTTATGCACTGAAAGAGGCTGTAGAAGCGGAGTTAGAAAAACTTGAGAGAAATGATGTGATAAAAAAAAACTGAGAGGCCAAAGTGGGCAAGTCCAGTAGTAGTTGTACCAAAGGCCGATAAGTCTATACGGTTGTGTGGAGACTATAAGGTAACAATAAACCAGTCGGTGCAAGACGAGCAGTATCCTCTTCCCACTACACAGGATTTGTACACTATGCTAACAGGGTCTAAAGTTATTAGTAAACTCGATTTATCTCATGCATATGCTCAGCTAAATGTTGATAAAGAGAGTCAAGAGTATCTTACAATAAACACACATAAAGGGTTGTATAGCTACACTAAGTTACCTTATGGGGTTAAATCTGCACCTAAGATATTTCAGTCTAAAATGGATCAGATTCTCCAAGGGATAGAGAAATGTGTGTGTAAGCAGGATGACATTCTTATTGGTGGGAATGACTGGAGAGAGAATCTGAAGATATTAGGTGAGGTTTTAGAAAGATTATGTCGGCATAATGTACACTTAAAACAGTCAAAATGTGAGTTTTAAAACCAGAAGTTGTGTACCTAGGTCTTAAAATTAATGAAAAGGGCTTGCACCCGGTAGAGGAGAAAGTGGATGTCGTTAGGAAGGCGCCTGTGCCATCTAACGTCAGTGAGCTAAGATCTTTCTTGGGTATGGTACAATATTATCATTCATTTCTTCCTAATTTGGCAACAACCTTAGCACCTTTGCATAAGCTTTTTAAAAAAGATGTCCAGTGGAATTGGACGTCCGAATGTCAAAAAGCTTATGATGTTTGTAAACAAAGTCTTACTAGTGATATCCTGTTAGTACACTACGATTTAAATAGGAAATTAAGACTTGCTTGTGATGCATCAAGTTACGGACTTGGTGCCGTTCTGAGTCATGTGATGGACGAAGACCAATTGCTTAAGCATCTCGCACACTTAGTCAAACTGAGAAAAATTATGCCCAAATTGAGCGTGAGGCATTGTCGATAGTGTTCGGGGTAAAAAAATTTCACCAGTTTCTGTATGGTCGAAATTTTACATTGATCACAGATCACAAACCACTATTGGCAATTTTGGGCCCTAGGTCTGCAATTCCCACACTTGCTGCTGCAAGGATGCAAAGGTGGGCATTGTACTCTCTGCCTATGACTATGTGTAGAATACAAATCATCTGAAAAACATGCTAATTGTGATGCACTCTCTAGGTTGCCACATCAAAACTCAACTATAGGTAGTGAGAGTGCAATCTACCAGGTAAGTGCAATCGATGATGATTTTCCAATTACTGCAAAAGATATTGGGAAGGCAACTAAAGTTGATTCTGTTCTCTGTAAAGTATATTATTATGTCATGTCAGGTTGGCCTGAGAATTGTCAGGATGAAAATCTGAGACCATATCATAACCGAAAGCTGGAATTATCCTGCGAACAAGATTGTGTTCTGTGGGGCTCCAGAGTGGTTATTCCACCAGTTTTTAGAGAGAAAATGCTCAATGAATTACATTGGGAACATCCAGGTGTATGCGGAATGAAAGCAATTGCTCGCACCTGTGTTTGGTGGCCCAAGATGGATGAGGATATTGAGAGGGCTGTGAAAGCTTGCACAGTGTGTCAGTCGGTAAGAAACACCCCTCCTCATGCACCACTGATACCATGGAAATGGCCGACCAGACCATTTCAACGTGTTCATATTGATTTCTGTCAAGAAGGTAAGGATTATTTTCTTGTGGTAATTGACAGCCACTCAAAATGGATTGAAGTAAAACATATGACCTCTACTACTACCCAACGTACTCTTGATGAGCTTCGATTGATCTTTGCTGTTTATGGTTTGCCAGAGGAGGTAGTGTCCGACAATGGACCTCAATTTACTGCAACTGAGTTTGTCGAGTTCATGACTAAAAATGGAATCAAGCACACATTAGTCCCCCCATATCATCCGCAATCAAATGGGGCAGCGGAAAGGTCCGTGAGAGTGGTTAAAGAAGCTTTAGCCAAACAAGTTATTCAAGGCACCCAAGGCGTGTCTATGAAACATAGACTGGCAAATTTTCTCCTTAGGTATCGAACCACTCCTCACAGCACCACAGGTGTGTCGCCAGGAGAGTTGATGATGAAGCGCCGTTTGAGAACAAGGTTGAGTTTGGTTAAACCTGATCTAGCACAGGTCGTAGAGGGAAAGCAAGAACAGCAGAAAGTGTATAAAGATGGGAAAGGAAAGAGTGAGAGAACATTTGAGAAAGAGGAAAGAGTTCGCGTGTTAAGAGGCAGTCCGTGTAAAAACCGACCACTCGAATTTCTTAAGAGTACAGATTTCCTTCCTTTCTGTGTGGAAGAAGTCATTCATAAAATGAACAAAAAACGTCTTGGAAATTGTAGTCTGTTTTAAAAATTTTTTCGCAATTATTTTCGGACGCGTTCGAAAACAAGTTATAAAGCGTTAATTACGCAAGTGATATTTGAGCTTTTTTATATCTCACAGTTCGTCTCGCGCTTTTATTCTAACTTCTTGAAACTTACATATTTTATTATTTCCTGCCTAAGCATAAACCTAAACTAAAAATTACCCTGATCATTTGAAGCAAACAAAATATTGTGTATTTTTAAAAAACGTCTTTCGAAGCGTTTCGGGAACCAGTTTCCCTGGAAATTACAGCGGATTTATTTAGCTAAATTAACAGTTTGGACATCATTAAATATATCGCGAGCTCCGCACTTTCCATCGTCCGAATGGATGTTGGTCTATTCGTCGGATATTTACCTCTTGTGTCACAAGTTTACTATAAATTACACTATGAAATTCATCGAATTGCGTGTAAAAATACAACATTCTCAGGAACCTGCTAGACGCGGTGCAATACTAGCGATTTTTGTTTAGAAATATTGCTTGTTCGTGTCGCTACTATATAATCGAGCTCCGCAACCATGAAATATTTAAACAAAGTATATTAAAATTTGATATTTTTATCAACTCCCATATAGTTTATAGTAATATTTGGTCGCCATATTTGGTCAAAGTGCGCATGTCCGTCGCCATCTTGTCCCATATTTCTGGTAATGTATAAATATGCCAGCAATTATATATGCTTGAAATTTTACGTGTATGGGTATCAATAAATACTACATGCATGGTATGTATAAACAAAAATGTATAAGAAAAGTGCGGGAAAGGATATATGTGTGCCAATTTATACGAATGCCTTGAAGGAGCACTTTTTTCTCATCATAGATATAGTGCAGATTTATTTTGCCACTATAATATAAAACAAATATTTTATACATGTTTAATATTTTCATGTTTTTTAAGAACTGCAATTACATGCTGATCTCGGTTAAGGTCCTGTCACACCATTGCGTATGAGAGAAACGTATGAGTATAGCGTAAACCATGCGTGTGCATGCATATATACGTCCGCATACTCGAAAAATTTTTAACCATGCTTACCTTGCATGGTTCCCCGATTTTTAAATAGACACCTTACGATTTAGGACAGCAACGGCTACAAATACAATAAATAATTAAAAAGAATTCAATAATTGCAATATATGAATAATTTAGACATTGTCCTCGCTTTGTTTACAACGCCAAATCACAGATTTTCACGTCTTGATACAACGGCTGCATTTCAAGCCGCAACAAGTGCAACTTCAGACTGGCTTCAGCAGAACTCTTCCCAAATATAAAACCCATTAAATTCATACGATTGTATTAAATTCATACGATTGCTAATATACCACGAATTCTCTTTAGGCCACTATTTGCTGTATATTAGTTTCTCATCCCCACCCGCATGCCTTTTTTAAGAAAATGGCCTTGTTCGCCATTATTATTGCCATTTTTGACCATTATTATAAATTTTGTGATGTCTTCAAAGTGAAATATGAAAGAAAGACAATTAGAAACGTTCCCAAACCAAATGTTATAGTTAAAATACAAAATTTCATAACCAAACTACGTACACACTTATTAACGTACACACTTATTAAATATCCAAACTCAGCTAGAAAAGTTCTACCGCGGAAGCCAGGGGCAGGGCCGAAGAACGCCAGACGTTCTGGGTACAAAATTATGAAAACATGCTTTCAGTTGCACTTACTGATTTTGTGCTGTTTTCCAGAAAGTTGCTATATAAATGCTTAATGCGCACTTTTCCAAAATAAATTTTATGGGGAGGGGAAATCCAGCAAATAATGGCATAATGGTATTGGCCCGCCAGCCCGCATCCACTTTAGGTGAAGCTCCGGATGAGAAACTAATATACAACAATTAGTGGGCTTTAATACTACCATTTATTTGAGGGAGTTTGTTTTGGCTGTCGTCGTCGCGTTGCCGTCCTAAAATCGTAAGGTCTCTAATAACCCCTCCGTGTGATCGTTAAATCACTTGCCGTTAGATGCCTCTATATATACACCCTTTAGTTACTGCTTCGCCCTTTCAGAGAGATTACGACATGCAGTCTTGGTTCATGTATTTGTTTGAGAATAAGTTTCACTTTCACTTAATATATACGCTTACTACATGTTTCGTCGGTTTTACTATAGCCTAATAGCTCAAAGCAATAAGAAAGAAATTCGTTTTTTACGGCAGAACGTTTTTGTATACCCAACCATGCATGTATTAAAGGTGATCTACAGTCCGTATGTAAACAAAGGCTTTGTTTACATTTTTGTGTCCAAAATATTGAGCTTTATTCGACAACTATTTATATTTTCAAGCTTCTAGAGTATAATAAATGATTAAGAAACAACAATCAGGCTTTTCAAGAACTCAAAACATAGTTAAACTGTT